AGATGGAGACAGAAAGTGATAATTTCAATGATTCTAGTGATTACTCAGATGATGATGATATTTATAGTGATTTACCAGTTGGATATAGGTTTGAGCCTGAATATACACAAGAAGAAATTGAGGAGAATAGTCTGAAAAAGCAATGCAAAGAGTCGGCACAAACTCAAGAATCAGAACAGTCACAATATGGCGGAATGAAAGCTTCGGTACCCGATAAGACTGTAGACAAATACTGGTGTTCTTGTGGTGTTTGTGAATTAATGAGTACGGCACCTGAATGTATAATATGCTGCCATGAGAATGATCAGCCCAGGGTTATTGTAGACCAGGTGAGTCATGCGAGTACACTGATCACCGGGCTTATCACGCTCAGTTAGAATCATGTATCTGTACATGTAATGTACCTGGTAGGCCTACATCATACATGTATCTACGCACGACAAGTCATGTACATATACCGTGAATGCATTATCCACACAGGTAATATGTATGCATGAATATAAGTGCATTTACAGGCTACATGTTTGTGTCTTGACATGATAAATAAGCATGAGAAATAACAAAAAAACATCGAATATTTAACCACCGCACACACTATGTTTACATAATGGCGTCGCTGAACCTGGGGCTGTGACGTCACATGACCTAGATTACTATTCAGTTATTTCGATTGTGTTTATTACTAATTGGGCGCCAGATTTGAAATTGAATACGTTATTGAATGTATTTCTATGTATAAAAACGTTACAGAAGTTATGAAATTTGACTTCAATTGTCCTTTAATATACAAAATACTAGTAGGCCTAATAATTGTAATGATATTTATCTGGCATCTTAGCTGTAAAAATAGTAGCACTTTATTGTAGTGAAATTTGCATTATCGTGTTGCCAAAGCTGAGGATGTGTGATTTATTACCGCTGATAGTATGATACTAGTGATAGGGTCTATGACTATGTCTCCCTGGGTACTGCCGAAACGTACCCTGGGTACGGTCCGGTATACCGGAACGTACCCTGGTAACTATCTGATTACCAGAATCAGATCTAACCCTTACCCTAACCCTAACCCTGGTAACTATCTGATTATCTATAATAGTTACCAGGGTACGTTCCGGTATACCGGACCGTACCCAGGATACGTTTCGGCAGTACCCAGGGAGGCATAGACCTTAAATGAGCTTTATTACCCCATCATGGCATTGGCCATGTTTGGTGAAAACGATACGCTATCATACGGTGAAAATCTGTGAGATATTGCTAATTTCTAATTATTAACACGTACAGTTACATATCGTACAAGTGCTACACCTAAGTCAATATTTTCGGTGGACTTTCTCAGCAGTTGGTTCCACAGTGCTCGCTAGCCTAACCGTCTAACGATAGCAGTCTAATATATGTCATAGGGATTACCTTAATTAACAATATGGGCACAAATCTAAATGGTTTGACATACGGTGTTGATATGTCCTTTACTATGTCAAGACATAGGAAGGCAATCTATAACAAAAATAGGAGGTCGAATCTGGGGTCAAAGGTCATGAGGTGTAAAGTTAGGGGAAATGTTCTCCCTTCATCTTATGGTAGGCCTATAGGACCAGCATTGAGAAAATGCAGAATTGCAGCACAAATGTAAATGAGCTGGCATGTGCTCTTGATATTCTGTATAAACAGTCTGTGTGAAAGAAACCATCATCTTCATGAAGTTGAAGGTCATAATTAAAACGGGAGTGTGCACCAAAGGACAGATTTCCGACACTTGAAACACATGGTTTAACAGGCCTAATGGCAAACTTAATTGTTTCAGTGGGGTCCTACGTACTATTGTTGTTACTTTAATTAAAGGACCAAAAAATTTACTTCACTGATGTGCAGAGAGTAGCTGTGTGGTAAAATTTTAGCCCGCAAGAGAAGGGTTGAATATTATTTGTTTATTGTTAATGGACAGAAATGCTTTTGCCAGCTACCCGTGTTGGTGTGAAAGGAGACAATTTGAGAATTCAGGGTTCGACAATAACCCACGTCCGACCGACCTAGTCGGGTAAATGCTTGGTCCGGTCGCATACAACCAGAGTGCTAGTAGCCTGACTGGTCGTGTTAGAATTTGTCATATAGTACTCGCAAATAGTTACATGACATCATTTCACACCTTTCTGCATTATAATTCACATTGTAATTACAAAATGCACAATTGTCACAATGTCAGTGCAAGGCAAAGGCAAAACATCGAATCTTTATTACGGTGTTTGTGCTTATAATAAAATTAAAACAATACCTATCAGTGTCTAGCCCATTAACCCAGTTTGCAACCCAGGGTGCACTGAAAGGTCACCTTTGGCTAGACTGCTTCGCGGCCGCACTGTTTGTCACAGATCGTGTACATTGTCTAGCAAAGTGTGAGGCCAGATACCAGTCTACCCTTCGGCAAAAATAATAACGTGGCTTGCTGCCAACCGCTGCCAGTAGACTATCGATAAATCGTGCGCCTGTGTATGCCCGTCGTAGAATATGAATGTTTAAATGCTGCACGTGGACTCGGCCCGTGCGCGATTTAAAGCGCGGGAAACGACGCTCGCACAAGAATGGCCAGCTGTGATCTGTATGGTGCGTAGCTTGCTAAGCGCAGTAAAGCCTGTTAAACATTTTTATTCTAGTTCTCGAATGACAGGGCCATTATTTCATATAGTTTTCAGTGACCAGTCTACAAGTTGATTTTTAACCCCTTTTCTTAAATACTCCATAGAGACGCCTTTTCCCGTCCTTGCAGCACACATAATTTGAAAACAGTGTAGACAAGTTTGTAATGTTGCAAGCAATGTGAACTGATCCTGCACTGTATTTAATTCTGACCAAAGAAATTATCATAATATATGAGATGACAATATCTGAATACTCATTTGAATTTATAAGAATCGTTTATAATATTTACTTGTTACTTGTTTATAAACTAAAGTATCAAAACCTCAATCTAAACATTTCTACCGTGTAATAGTATTGCAGTTAAAAATACATACTTTATCATAATTATGTCACTATACTAGCAGCATCTATGAATTCATACGATGACACACTTTTATCTAAATAAAGTTGTTCATAACAATGGTCTGGGTCTGGGCTAGTGAAAGTTAGGTCAGGGCTAGTGGTTTTCCTCAGTTACTAGCCCGATGGTCTAGTGAAAGTTAGGTCAGGGCTAGTGGTTTTCCTCAGTTACTAGCCCGATGGTCTAGTGAAATAAAAAGTTAATGTTGAACCCTGGTTTAATTAGATTTAAAGTTAATCTTAGTTTACAAGGTTTAAATTCCTTAAATCAGATTATTTGTTAGCTCGACCCATGTAAGGCTTTGTTTAGCCACAGGTCTCTATGACCAGCAGTAAATAGCAGCGACGTCGGCGGTGAATAATTCTTGGCAGCAAGACTGGCCAGGCTGTACCCAACGAGCCCAAGACACAATGAAGACATGTACACTAGCTGCTAACACAAACGTCCCGACTTGAGCCTATCAATCTAAAATCAAAACCATACTGATCTCACCATAATTTGACCTAAGGTACAAACTACAAATAGAGTACTAGGCAGCATGTACTACTATATAAGGGGACACTATTAGCAATATTCCAAGGTTTTTAATTCTCACGTTCTGGCTATACTATTTCAGTTTAATTTAGATCGTTCAGTTTATTCTGGGCAAAATTGAGAACTGGACAAGCGAGTATAAACATTTCATTAGTTTACTGCGATTTGTGCTGTTGCTAATTTATAACGCGGCATGTAAGTATTCTATACTACATGCTTGTGTTTGTTTTAGGGTTGTACAGAGGTACGTTCAAGGAACCATGGGTCGACCACTACCTTTCCCCTACACTTTGATGTCGCAGCTTCGGCAATTTCCGTACAAGATGCACATCACCAAAAATAATTTCATCAAGTACTATCTGATCGGAGTAGTGGTTTCATACCCATTGTTCTACAAGATCCACAAATTGGGTGAGTTAACATTGTTGGAATGATGTGATGTAATTGCTATCCCACAGCAATCTGTGTTGTATTTATAATGGAACTGGAGTAATTGTTTGTACTTGAAATTTTATCTGTATTTAATGATTATAATGAAATTAATAAGGTTATGGAAGAAAACAGATACAAATATTATAAGCAATTGGAACTTTTTTTAAACTATTTAGCCAACTCGCCAGAGAGCAAGAGATCATGGGAGGCGGTTCAGAAAAGAGACAGGGAGGCATCAGGTAAGCTCCTTTGCACGGCAGGAAGGCATCTATTGAGTGTGTTGCATTTCTTAGTTCATATGACCTAAGATCTCTGGGTTAGTTAGGCAAAGTAAGAAAACTGTACGAATATAAGCACACTATCTTCGTGCGTAATAAAATTAACAGAACTGGCTCATGTCATCCACATAAAACTGCCATCTTGTTAGTGGATCGATGCCTGCGTATTCTTCTGCATAACACATAGGCCTATAGATGCAAGGTGGTTTGTTGTACCAGAACAGTTGATGATGAGATCGTGTGTCGTTTTAAAAATTAACAGTTAAAAAAAAAGCTATTTTGCTTGTGCACACTTAGTTATATTTCCTATGTGTCTTATCACTTTCCACATTACTGGATTCATCCCATTGTATTGGCAGGAGCTTCAATAGTGTGGTAACAGAGAGTAAATTTATCCTTTGTGATTTTTTTTCAGCTCACTAAAGACGATTGTCAGTGGTGAGGAGACGTTCTTAGGTCTTCAGTAAGCAAGAAATATTAGCTCTCAGAAACTGGAATCTAAAATGGACCCTGGTTTGCAGTCAGAGAACAGATGTACTTTAGCCATCACCGATCATATCTGCAGGCAGTGTTGTATTTATATTACAAGTGCTGATTTGAGAAAATACATTTTCATTCTAAATGTGACGAGTTAACGAAGGTTTCTCAGCCTTTACTGCTTTTTCATTTTAAGTGTTACAACTCGCCTGTAAATTTCTGCGAAATACTATATTAACCGATTTTCTTTTTTGAAGTTGTGCATTCATTTCTACATTGCTTACTGACAGTTAGCATTCTGTACACTTGTTAATTAATAGGTAATAAATGTTTGAAAACAAACTATGTAAAGATATAATATTTGTTAACAAAATTGCAGTAACCTTTTTTTATTAAGCCCAGGAAATTAATTAGTACCCTATACATACCCTACATTTATTTAATATTCAATAAGAGTTAAAATTAAACAGTTATTATTTTTATACATTATATACATACAGCAATATAAAGCTCTTGCACCTTTTTAACTTGAGTCATGCAAGGCATCTCCTATTCATGGTCCTTATGCATTGTTAAGTTACATAACAATAATTTATTAAATTACTGCAAAAGACATCTGCAGACCAACAAAATATTTCCATCATGAGGAATTCTGAGGAATGGTACGTGGCCATTGACTGTGTAAGGAAACAAAGAATAAACAAGGATAGGCCAAATGACAAGGAAGCACCAAAAACAAACCAATGAATACCACTTGGAAGCATTCGTAATATATATTCACAAGTGTCTGGGGGAAAGTGTACCAGATCAGATATAAAGTATATAGCTTGAGCCAAGCCACAAGTCATGCTTGCTGCCATAGTATCCGTATATTTCGTGGAAACAATTTAATGCTTCATGCGTGATCAATTGCCTAACTAACAGCTAGAGAAGGCCTACAAAAGTTTCACATGCTATCTTCGGTCTGGACCTAGTGCTGTGACGCAGCACAACACTAGAGTAAAAGCAGTTGTTCAGTCGCAGTAACAAGTATGGAGCATGGATGAACTTGGCAGGCCCTCCGTTATGAACACGACACTAAGCATTGATGATTGCAAAGGTCGAACGAAAGACTCCTCGTCTCCATAGTTACGGCTGCGGCTGTAGGACGGTCTTGATGATGGCCGAGTCCATTTTCCCATCGACGGGGACCGGCTGGAAGGTGGGCAGGGTGTCGTTCAAGGACTTCATGAGCAGGTGTCTCTCAGGGGGGCGCTGTCTGACAGCGCGAGAGCCAGCAGGTGGCACTGTGCTCATCGCTGATATGAATGGGTTATGAGTCTTGGTATGCAGCTCCTGGGCCATCTGCTCAGCCGGCAGTCGCAGCGTTGCCTTCGGCGTCGACTCCACCTCTAGGAATTTGATGAACATCTGAGAGAAGGAAGACTGCAGACAGAAAGTGAGAACACTGGTTACAGATCACAGCAAGTTACAGCAGGTAACAACAGGTCACAACATGTAGCAACAGGTTACAGCAGGTAATACTAATAGCAGGTAACAATATGTTGCAACCAGTAGCAACAGATAATTACAGGTAACGTCATGTTGCAATAGTGAATAACACACAACAGACATTAAATAAACAAATAAAACATCAAAAATCAGAAAATAAAAACTATTATCACCATTTATCATCATTTTCTGTACATGACTCACTAGTTTTATGACTGCGCAACATCTGCTTACAATTGACCAGGTTTCAACTTAATTCAAATCCACTGTTCATGAAACTAAATTATATTCCTAAAAATAAATATGCATTAAATAAAACTACATTGGAAGAGATTTCATACCTATAAAATCAATGATTTCTTTGGATGACAGTTAAGAAATTGTGTAGCTTTAATATGTACATGCTGCAAACCTTAATAGCATTACATGCCCTATACCTTGTCGGCATCATCACGGGCCATAGTCGACCTGCTGGGCGTATTGGGTGGTGTGGCCTGTGGTCCTGGGGAGGACCTCCTCAGAAATCCTGGAAGCCAAGATGAACCCTGACCTTCTCCTGTTGCCTAAGACGGGATGAAAGTTTTCTCCCTAAATTTCTACTGACGAAGAATTGTCAGACTGACAAAACTGACATGCACTGCATCCAGTACTTAGCAGCTTGACATGACATGACATACAATACAATGACATCACAAGCATGCTTGTTTGGAATAAATACGTGCAACTGAAATGGCTTGATCTTCATTGACCCAGTGAAATAAACCCACTCCGGATGCCTTATCACTATAACCTAGCCACAAACGTTTAGAGGCTAGTGCCGGCGTTGCTCACTCTATTTTGTGTCAAACCAAACAATTGCGCGCTAATTTATCATGATATATTCACGTTAACTCTGGACGTTAACTAGGACGCTGTATGCAAACCTTGGCGATTTCATCCTGGGTGAAGTTCAGAACACTTGCTATGAGGCGAATCACCTCCGTCCTCTTGCTAATGGGAGTCGTGTAGTATCCAAGAAATAAGTTCTTTATGATGAGCCTGAAGCACAAGTGTCACGTTATGTCACCTAATGAGGAGCTATGCCTGTTGTAGGAAGGCAGACTCTGATTGGTGGAAAATGGATTGAATTATGACAAAGGTTAGTGGACCAATCATATTCACAACGACTAAAAGATCATTCAAAATGTACAGAATAAGAAATATTTATTCTTACTTATCTACTTTTCCCTCCTCATGGGTTTGAAATCTAATGATGTGGTTGTGCAATTCCTCTATTTCTGCCTCCTTCTCTTGCACTGGATATTATGCACATGTAAACAAACATTAAAACTCTTAGAAATACCATAACAAATGCATACAAACATCAAACAACAAACATCAAACATCAAACATAATAATTATATTCAGACCCTCTATACAGGCTGTGACAAAATATCTGTCACACAGCTTTTTCTGCAAGCTGTGAAGAGCAGATCAATGTAACGTTATTTAGGTAATATAACATAATTATATATATATATATATATTTATATTATATATATAAACGGACAAACAATCATATGTAGTGCCTAGAAGTATTGTTATACATGATACAACCTATCTTCAAATGGATTGCCAAGGAGAGTAGATATACTAGGGTAGTCTAAACTAAATCGGCACCCACGAAATGTTAACGAAGAAAGAGAATTCTCACCACGGGAATATCACAACAGACACTGATCTTTCTAGCTCCTCAGTACCTGAAGTAATACTCAGGTGGGAAGAAAAAGTTAGTCTATTGCTAAAACCGAAATACTAATGCTCCTCCACTTCTCACCAACCACTAATGTTTGGGTTAGATATACCATGTGTCTATGGTTGTGAATCGAGTCATTCGATCAGTGAATCGAATCATTCGATCAGTGAATCGAATCATTCGATCAGTGAATCGAATCATTCGATCCGTGAATCGAATCATTCGATCTGTGAATCGAATCATTCGATCCGTGAATCGAATCATTCGATCCGTGAATCGAATCATTCGATCCGTGAATCGAATCATTCGATCCGTGAATCGAATCATTCGATGATTCGATCCGTGAATCGAATCATTCAATTCGTGAATCGAATCATTCGATCCGTGGATCGAAATAGAGGAAGAGGGACGAGGTATATGAGGAGGGGAGAAGGTGGTACAGGAGGAAGGGGAGAAGGTAGAGGACGAGGGAGAAGGTAGTGGAGGAGGAGGGGGAGAAGGGGAGGAGGTAGAAAAGGGGGACAGAAAGGAGGTAGAAAAGGGGTACAGGAAGGAGGTCGAGGAGGAGGGTAGAAGGTGGTCGAGGAGGAGGGTAGGTGGTGGGGGAAGAGGAGGAGGAGGTAAGGGAGGGAGGAGGTAGAGGGGGACAATGTGGTGGAGGGGAGGGGGAGTTAGGAGATAGGGAAGAGAGGAGGTAGTGGAGGGGAGAAGGTAGAAGAGGGAGGAGGTCGAGGATGGTGGGAGAAGGGGGAGGAGGTAGAGGAGGGAGGAGGTAGAGGGGGAGAATGTGGTGGAGGGGAGGGGGAGTTAGGAGATAGGGAAGAGAGGAGGTAGGGAGGGGGAGAAGGTAGAAGAGGGAGGAGGTCAAGCGATGGTGGAGAAGCGTGGAGAGAGGTAGAGGAGAGGAGAAGGTAGACAGAGGGAGTAGTAGAGCCGATGGCACGACCACCCACCCACACTAGAAGGCTGCGGGACGAAAGTGGAATGGGGGATGAGGATACCGCAGGAGGAGGAGGAGAATGTGCCGTGGAGAGAGGACACGAGAGGAGAATGGGGAGATAGGGGAGAGAGGAGGTAGAGGAGGGGGAGAAGGTAGAAGAGGGAGGATGTAGAGGATGGTGGGAGAAGGGGGAGGAGGTAGAGGAGAGTGGGAGAATGTGGAGGAAGTAGAGGAGGGGGAAAAGCTGGTAGAGAAGAAGGGGGAGGAGGTGGTGGGAAAGGAGAAGAGGAAGGAGGTAGAGGAGGGGGAGAAGGTGGTAGAGGATTCGATTCGCGGATCGAATAATTTGATGGGAATAAATTTGAAATAATTGAACATCACTGCAATCGAAAGCATTAATTAAGACTGCATCTACGTTGATAACCATCCACCAGTGCTGTTCAATTGTTAGTCCAGGAGAGTTGTTCAATTATTAGTCCAGTAGTGCTGTGCGATTGTTAGTAGAGTGCACGACTGATTGTGTAAATCCCAGCCAGCAACCGGAGTCGTGACTTGTTGCTCACAATTACCAGCTGAGATTAACGCAACGGCAGCGCAGCAAGCCCTTAAGACTCCGCCTTCTCCATCTCTTCCTTCTCCATCATTAGCTGCATTCTATCTACGAGATGCCCAGCTTGAAGTGTGATTTTTGCAAACATTCCTGGTTCCCCCCGTTAACAGAGTACTAGATGCTACAGCTACGCGCGGCTAGGGTTTTAGTAATTTACAGGGTAAAGTAAATAAAAAGTGTAACGACCTCTAATTATTACGCGGTATATATATTTGGTTACATTATGGTTACCATTAGCGGTTAATAGAGGACTACAGTGCAGCTTTCTACGCAGCTTAAAGCCATGATAGGGGCTCCATGCAGGCAGTACAAGAGAGGAAGGAGTTCAGTTCACGGTCAGCTTAATAGCAGTTGTTTTTTCACCCATTACAATAGCAGGGTGGTTTTAATACAGTATAACATCAGAGAGGTGTTTCATGCATCGCAAAAGCAGAGCCGTACGATTCCATGCAGTATTATAGCAGAGAAGTGTATCCATGCATTACAAGGAAAAAAAGCTGTGGGATTCCATGCAGTATTATAGCAGAGAGCTGTTTCCACGCATTGCAAGAGCAGAGGCGTGCGATTCCATGCAGCCTAAAAGCAGCGGTACGAGTTCAGATGATACCAGCTGGCAAACTGAGACACAGAGAGCACGTCAGCTCAGAATTACCAACTGATATTTACTGAAGCAGCACTGGTTCTACTAGCGCAAGATCCTTACAGAAATAAGAAAGATGTCAGCACTAGAGTGAAACGCACACACGCATGCACACTTTTGTGACCAGTTAGTGTAATCTTTCAACAACACCCACGCAACAGCATTTTGTTAGCTATGCACCTGACGACCGATTCTGTGTACTGTCGTCACGACACGATGCGTTGCTGAAGTGACAGAGAAATCTTGGCTGGCAGTCTGAGAAATTATCTGCCACTCAGATTTAACCAGCTGAGATTGTCCTGGCACTCGCACGCGCGCAGTCCTCATGTCAACCCTTACCTGTAACACCTACATAAATCGTGTTAGTACACCTGTCATCCCACATCTAACACCTGCACCATTACACCTGTCACCATCTGTTGTAACACCTGGATGTACACCATCATTATGCCCGTCATTGCTTCATCATTAACACCTGCACAAATATATACCTGATACCAGGCCCTGTAACACCTGCATGTATAGTGTAGAGTGTTACTCTACCTGTTATTACTACGTGTGACAACTACATGTATAGTGTCAGTTTACCTGTCACACTACTTATAACACTTGCGTGTATAGTGTCGTTATACCTGTCACCAGAACCATGTAACACCTGTGTGTATAGTGTTAGTCTCCCTGTTACCTGAACCTTGTAACACCTGCGTTTATATATAGTGTCATAATAGTGATAATACCAATCGCCAGAACCCTGTAACATCTGTATTTATAGTGTCATTATACCTGTCAGCAGAACCCTGTAACATCTGTATTTATAGTGTCATTATACCTGTCAGCAGAACCCTGTAACACCTGCACACAGAGTGCCAATGATTCATTATACCTGTCTGTCGGAGGCTGGTGATGAGTTCTGCATTCCTATCAACCTGCTCACTGAGTCGCTGCCCTGCATCCAGAGCCTCCTCCATTGAAAGCACCTTGTTCTGATGGACAGCAGCAACGAAAACATAAAAAACAATTCTTCACAAATGCAAACAAACAAATAGCCAAGGAATTCTTATGTGTGACTTACTCACAGGAGTTATTCATGTACATCTCTGTAAAGCCAACAATATATAACAATCTCTACTATAAGATAAACCATTTTAACTCCATGCAGTTTACTATAGTCACCCCTAAATATTCAACCTTATATGATAATCCCGACCATATAATAAGCCATTTAAAATAATACCATTTTATTCATTGTTTATAGCAAACTCCCTCCCCATCCAGTTGCTAAGATCCTGCAATATTAATTAATTGGGCTGATTCACACTAGCTAAAGTGCTGCCAGTCTAGTGTGTACCTGCATAGCAGAGAGTTGAGTCTTTAGTGTGATCACATCCTCCTCTCTGTCAGCTAGCTGCTGTTGCCATTTGTCAACCTCAGCACCTAGCGCAGCCTCACGATCTAAAACGGCGCACACGTGGTATCAGCTAAGTGCGTGTATTAGTATTATTCGTAGCCTACGTTTATCTTCGATTAATTGTGTGGCTTGCAAAATTTGTGGTGTGCTGTTGTAGTTTGCGGTTGCAGTGTGACTTGCCAACATTTACATGGGTGATAATAGATTGAAATGCTGAGACAGTGAAAGTTATCGTGGCTCAGCCAGATAAGCATCATGATTTATCATTATTGGTCTTAGCCTGCATGAATGGCTCACAGCACTTCACAGAAACTTCAATCTATTTACGCTGCATCCAGCATGCAAGAGTGTGCCCTTGCCTTCTCTCTGTGCTGGATCTAGCGTGTGTGCGTGTGCCCCTTACGTACTCCTACCACACATTCAGCATGTGTGTGTGCCTCTTGCATTTCTCTTAACCCACACGCAGCGTGTGCGTGTGCCCCTTGCATTTCTCCCACCCCACATTCAGCATGTGCATATGTGTAATGAAGCGAATTCTGCCACTTTCACTTATGCAAATCCACACAGGCAGATTCTGTGACAGAACTGGCCTCTGGTTGACAAACCACTCTTGCGGGACTATTAACGCCAAGGCAGTGCACTAAAGTAGAACAGTAATCTCGCCCCTCCCTCTCGAAAGTTAAAGAAAGTGGACGGTCTGACCAACGCGTGACATACTTAGATCACGTGCTATAGCCAGGTTAATTAGAGTGAAAGTAGAATAAAAAGGGACGTTTTAGAACAGAAAGACAGAGTCGAGAGAGTCGACTACGCTAGGATGTGAGCTTGTTTGCTTGCTGTGTACTTGTGTGTAAACTACTTTGATATTGTGTTAAACTGCTTTGATACGGTGTAAACTACCTTGATACGGTTTATACTACGGTAGTGTGTATTGTGCTGTGTTTATTGTTTAGTTAAGGACCATGTACGCGTCATGCCCCATGGAGGGATTATAATATTTGTGTATTACTCTGTAGAGCATTAATAGAACTAGTTGTTGCACGTTTACATCTTGTTTCTGTCATACGTTATCGATGCTCTCTCTATTAAGTCACGCTATCTAATGGTAATTTCTTACACGCGCCAAAAGTGCGAACCTGTACACTATACGACACGCTGATCATTACATATGCCCCTTGCATTTCTCTTATTCAGCGTGTGCGTGTACCCCTTGCCTGGTGATGGCCTCAGCTTTGCCCCCGGGAACGCGCTCTAAAAACTCTACGCTTGTATCGAGAGGGGGCGAGCTGTCCTCTGTGCTGCACCAAACACGTAGTTGCATGCCTCTTGCCTTCCGTACATCAAACTGCTTGCCTTTCCTCTATGCGCTGCACCTACCTCGCTGGAACTGCTCCAGCACCAGCTCTAGGTTGTGCAGGGATGCTGCGTGCTGCTGCGCCTGTGTCTGGCTGGCCCTCAGCTGCGCCGCTGTGCCGTCCCGCTGCTCAGCGATCACGCGTAGCTGCTCCTGCAGGCTCTCTATCTGCAGGCTGGCTTGTAAGCTGTACAACACACGCCACACACAGACCTCAGCAGCGTGGCGGCGATTACGCCGACAGTAGTGATTACCATAGCGGCAGCGAAGACAGTGATGATGCGGATGACAGTGAAGATGACGATGACAGTGATAATGATGATGACAGTGATGACGACGATGACTGTACCACAACATCATTAGTATGCACGGCCAACCAGCCACGTGGCCATTATGTTACTTGCCATTTGTTACTACTTGATATTTGCTGTCACGTAGCACTTACTGCTAGCCAGCAATTTATCTTTCCTACATTTACGATTATCTAACATTCACCATTACTTCGCATCTTACTCTTCCCAGATATCCATCATTACCAGGCATTTGCCACACCCTACATTTACTGTTAACCGATATTTACCGTTACCTGACACTTATTATTACCTTGACTATTAGTATGACATTATATTTACTGATACATTGACTTTTATTATTACCTGATAGCTTCTCTTACCTGACATTTTGTGCAGCACTGGAGGAGGAGGTGAGCTTGGTTTCAGCTGCTGCCAGCCTATTCCTCAGATCCTTCTCCCTTCCCTCTGCCTGCAGAGCTTCCTCTGTGTAAGACTGCTCCACCTGTAGCAGATGCTCTCTCAGCCGCTCCAATTCAGCTTGTAGTTTCCTCTCCCTCTCAGAGAGACTGCGAACCTAGACAGCAAAGCAAGGCGAGTACAATATCCACTACTGTTACTCTTCCCTCAAGGTGGTGCTACCCTAACCATGCATCCACCCAGCGACCCCCTCAGGGTGGTGCTACCCTAACCATGCATCCACCCAGCGACACCCTCAGGGTGGTGCTACCCTAACCATGCATCCACCCAGCAACCCCCTCAGGGTGGTGCTACCCTAACCATGCATCCACCCAGCAACCCCCTCAGGGTGGTGCTATCCTAACCATGCATCCACCCAGCGACCCCCTCAGGGTGGTGCTATCCATGACGCATGCATCCACCCAGCGACCCCTCAGCGGTGGATGGCTACCTAACCTACTGCATCCATCCTAGCGAACCCCTCAGGGTGATGCTACCCTACACCATATGATCGCCACCAGCGAACCACTCTCAGGGTGGCGCTACCCTAACCATGCATCCTCTCAGCCGACCCCCTCAGGTGGTGCTACCTCTAACCATGCATCCACCACGCAACCCCCCTCGAGGGTGGATGCTATCCTAAGACCATGATCCACACAGCGACCCCCTTCAGGGTGGCTGCTTCCTAACAATGCATCCACCCAGCACCCCCTCAGCGGTGTGCTATCCATAACCATGCATCCACCCCAGACAACCTCCTCAGGGTGGTGCATATCCTAACATGCATCAACCCACGACCCCCTCAGGGTGCGTTGCTATCCTAACCATTGCACCACCTCAGCGACCACCTTAGGGTGGTGCTACCCTAACCATGGCATCCGACCCGCAACCTCCTCGAGGTGGTGCTATCCTAACCATTGCATCCACCCAGCCGATCCCCTACAGGGTGGTACTCATTCATAAACCATGCGCATCCACAAGCGACCCCTCAGGGTGGTTGCTATACCTATACCAATGCATCCACTCCAGCACCCCTCAGGGCTGGTGGCTTACCCCTAATCCATGCAATCCACCCATCAGCTGACCACCTCAGGGTGGTGCTATCCTAACCATAGCTCCACCAGCGATCCCCTCAGGGTGGTACTATTCTAACCATGCATCCATCCAGCGACCCGCAACTATGTATCATACCGTGACCACATCGGCATCTTTCCATTATCACCTTATCACCCATTATGCTACCTTAGCTATGAATCCACTCTCACCATCATTGATCCACCGTTTTATGTACGAGATCTGTACTCGCCGCCACACCACCATCCCACGTACCCTCTTTCAGAGAACAAGTTCAGCTCTTTAAAATAGTACCACGCACTTCATGGTTCCTCTCCCTCACCATCACCACAGTTACACCTTAGCGGCTTAGCCATACGTCCACACCCACATTACAATGCTACTCTCATCACTTCACTCCTCCCTCACCACGGTCACTATCAGCCACCATATCCCCTCCCTCTCACCCTGCACTTACTATGATACTTCCCCCTCCACCATGCCATCTCCCTCTAGCCATGTTCTCTTCCCCTAAGCCACGTACACCCCCTCACTTGACTATAATACCTTCCCCCTACCACGCACGCTTTTTCCCTCTAACCATGTTCTCTTCCCCTAGCCACGATCCCTTCCACTTACTATGATACCTCCCCCTCCACCACGCCTTTTCCCTCTAACCATGTTCTCTTCGCCCTAGCCACGGCGCCCCCTACACTTACTAATAAGACCTCCCCCTTCCATCCACCTTTGTTTCCCTCTAACATGTTCTCATTCCCTAAGCCACGTTCGCCTTCGCACTGTTACTATGATACCTCTCCCTCCACCACGCCTTTTCCCTCTAACCATGTTCTCTTCCCCTAGCCACGATCCCCCTCACTTACTATGATACCTCCCCCTCCACCACGCCTTTTCCCTCTAACCATGTTCTCATCCCCTAGCCACGATCCCTTCCAACTTAACTATATACCTCTCCCTCAGCACCGAGGCCTGTTTCCCTCTAACCATGTTCTTCTTTCCCCCTAGCCACGATCCCCCTCACTTACTATGATACCTTCCCCCTCCCACCACTGCCATTTTCCACTCTTAACCCATGTTCTCATCCCCTAGCCACGATCCCTTCCACTTACTATGATACCTCCCCCTCCACCACATCTTCTCTCTCTCACCATGTACCCTCTCCTCCATCACCATCAGGATTCTTCCAATTACGATCCTCCATGCCACTACACCACGTGTGCATGATTACTCACCTGGCTCTGTAGCTGGCCGGTCTCTACCTGTCGTTGCTTCAGGGCCAGCATCACCTGGTCACGCTCATGCTGGAATGTCTGTGCCTGCGCCTGCATTCGTTCGCTTTCTGCCAACAGCTGCTGCACATTGTCCGCCGTGCTACCAGCGCCCTCTGTCTGCTGCAGCAGCTCTGTCAGCGTCGCCACCTTCTCCTGCAGAGCCTGAAACAAGCGCACAGTAACGGCAGTGAGGACAGTGCTTACACTTATGCAGGGCACGTCGTACATCTATCGTCGCTCACACTGCTACATCATATGACATAGTGCTACACAGATTATATATATATATATATAATTACATATATGTATATATCACATGCAAAACTACATATCAGCTCATCATATGTGCCCACGTGGTATGTATACATGGGGTTCATGCCAGTAGTACATAGACTATATAGCAAGTCTACTTATTACACCTATTCCTATTCCTACAGAATATATAGACTAAACCCTGAGTCATCCCATGTGTATGGCTGTTACATGACTAGTAGAGTAATGCTACTGACTGACGTAGCTGACTGACATACGTTACTGACGTGACATTCGAGACGAGGCGCCATACCTTCAGTTCAAAGTCCTTCTCCTGCATAGCCATCATCAGGCGATTGTTCGTCTCCTTCAGCATGCCGTTCTCTGATAGCTGGTCACTCTGTCGCTCCTCACTGTCGTGTGCTTTCTGCTTCACATCATTAATCTAAGGACCAGTACAAATGAACCAATGTCATTAACAAGCAACGAGGCAATGCACCAACTGGAATGCGGCAGCTTATGCTGGTGATGAAGTATCCAGAGTGCAATTCTGTTACGCATTATTACATTATATTATTATTACCTCCGCCAAGGTGGTTATGTTTTCGCCCCTGTTAGTTTGTTTGTTAGTTTGTTTGTCTGTCAACAAGATATCTCAAAAAGTTACGGATGGATTTTGATGAGATTTTTTGGACGGGTCGGTCTTGGGCCAAGAACCAATCGATTAGATTTTTGTGGTGATCCTGATCCAGATCTGGATTTTTTTTGGTACCAGCAAGTTGGGGGGACTGTTAAGCTGTGGCGGAGGTTTGCTATCTCCGATTGCTCTTGTATTATGCATTATATTACTACTACCTTATATTATTTTATGATTACCTTTAACATTATTTTACTTTGTTTCCTTACACACTCCTTCATATGATTACTTTATGCATCACCTTATTATTTCGTTATAGTACCTCACAAGATTCTACCGCATTAGTCATCGTTAGTTATCGTGAGTCACATTAGTCATCGTGAGTCACATTAGTCATCTTTAGTCACATTATTCACATTAGTCATCGTGAGTCACATTAGTCATCATTAGTCATCGTGAGTCACATTATTCACATTAGTCATCGTGAGTCACATTAGTCATCATTAGTCATCGTGAGTCACATTATTCACATTAGTCATCGTGAGTCACATTAGTCATCATTAGTCATCGTGAGTCATCATTAGTCATCATTAGCCATCGTGAGTCACATTAGTCATCGTGAGTCACATTAGTCATCATTAGTCATCGTGAGTCATCATTAGTCATCA